ACATACATACACATACACATACACGCACAGACGCACACACACACACACATACCTATGCACCTACGCAGCTACACACAGACACAGATACCAACATACACACATACAGACACGTATACGCATACATGTACATGTACATGTACACCTACACCTACACCTGCAGATACACGTACACACAGACACGCATGCACATAGACACACAGACACACAGACACACAGACACACAGACACACAGACACACAGACACACAGACACACAGACACACATACACACATACACACATATACAAGTACACATACGCACATACACGCATGCGCACATGCACACGCACACACAAGCGTACATACAAACATCCAGACATACAGACATACAGACGTACAGGCAGGCAGGCAGACAGGCAGGCAGGCCGGCAGACAGACAGAGACAGAGACACAGGGCCGGAGAGACATAGAGACAGAGAGACAGAGAGTGAACAAAAGAAACAGAGAGACAGAGAGAGAGGGAGACAGGGAGACAGGGAGACAAGGAGACAGGAAGACAGAGAGACAGAGAGACAGACAGGGAGACAGACAGAGAGACAGACAGAGAGAGAGACAGAGAGCCAGAGAGCCAGCCAGCTAGACAACCAGCGAGACAGACAGACAGACAGACAGACAGAGAGAGACAGACAGACAGATAGATATGCAGATAGATACACAGACAGATACACAGACAGATACACGGACGGATACACAGACAGACACGCGGACGGATACACAGACAGACACGCGGACGGACACACAGACAGACACACAGAAAGACACGTGGACGGACACGCAGACAGACACGCAGACAGACACACAGACAGACACACAGACAGACACGCAGACAGACAAACAAACAGACACACAAACAGACACACGGACAGACGGACACACAGACACACAGACACATAGACACACAGAATCACACAGACACACAGACACACAGACACACAGACACACAGACACACAGACACACAGACACAGAGACACAGAGACACAGAGACACAGAGACACAGAGACACAGAGACACAGAGACACACAGACACAGAGACACAGACACACAGACACACAGACACAGACACAGACACAGACACAGACACA